AGCACTTGAGAACATTTTCAATTTGGATTCAGAGTTTCCAATCCCAGGGTATACATAAAACACCATCGCTCATAACAGAGTAATAGTGTGTTACCCAGAGCATCACACCTTCTAATAGAGGAGCTAGTACACCTTTGTGCAATAATAAACGTTCACAGCATTGTATCATCAGATCTGGAGTAATACTATCATCCTTATTANAATTAGAACCACCTGGAGAAGAAGACGAGGAAGAAGAGGAGGAGGAAGAGGAAGAAGATGAAGAAGAACCTCAGCAGGAAACAGAGAAGGCTGATGAAAAAGGTTGGTACAATGTGATAAGTTTAAACAAGTAGTTTACAGTTCAGAAGTGATTAAATTGTATTATTTGAATAGGATCTGAAAACGAAGCTGGATCTAGAGCATCGTCTAGAGCTTCTTCTCGAGCATCCAGCAGGAAATCTAGATCCCGATCAAAGTCTGCTTCCAGGTCGAAATCTCGATCTAGATCTCGATCTCATTCGAGATCTCGATCTAGATCTCGGTCACCGTCAAAGTCAAGATCTGCTTCTCGTTCACGTTCCGAATCACGATCTCCCTCAAGGTCGCGCAGTAAATCAAGATCGAGATCGAAATCTGGCAGTCCACAGTCCAGAAACTCTTCTAAATCGAGATCTCGCTCTAGAACTCCACCTAAATCTCGATCTGGAACTCCATCGAGTACAAAATCTAGATCAAAATCAAGATCTCGTTCAAGGTCTAGGTCAAGATCAGGTAGTGGTAGTGCCAGTGGATCTGGGAGCGGTAGCGGTGAAAGTGGTTCTGAAAGTGAATAAATATTAGGAGACTTTCTACGTGAATTATGAACCGAAAGATCTTCTGATGTTAAGATCGGATTGTTATAGTCTTGAAAATATTTGACACTTATATGTATATAATGAATATCATAAATGTACGATTTATTTCGATACGATTAAAAAGTTGATTTTAATAAGAAAAATATTTCAGAAAGGGACGAAAGTATTCCAATATCCTAAATGTAAGTTCCAGATAATTTTTTAATAGTTTTATACAGATTGCGCGAATATTAATTCACAAGATAAAAAAGGTATTACAGTAGGAGCAAGGAAGGAAATTTCATAACTACCATCTATGTGTGTGTTTATAAGTATTATTCTCATGTTTAATTCATTTCTTTTAGAAAATATTTCTATTTTTCTATATCAATTGTTTATATTAAAAATAAATATACAACGTATCAATATTAGTGATAAAATATT